GCATATGTTGTCTTGTATTAATTTGATATGGGTTATGAAATGTGCTAATTATTTAGTTTATTTGTTGAATTTTATGTTTTGTTGAATTTTATGTTTACAATTTCTGTTGGATGTGATGTCAAAGGTTTTCATGACTGGAATCACTTGGTTGCTGTGAGTTTTCCAGGCTGTATGGCCATGTTCCAGAAGCATTCTCTCCTGACGTTTCACCCACACCTATGGCAGGCATTCTCAGAGGTCTCTTCTCATGATATAGCTGTACTACTGTTGTCTTGATTCCTGCCTTTTCTTGCTGATTGCTTTTATTCCTAGTCTTTGATGGATGTCATAATTTGGTAGATAGTCATTGAAGCGATGATCCTCTGCCATCAACTCCACTGGACTGGCCACGTTGTCCGGATGCCCAACCACCGTCTCCCAAAGCAGTTGCTCTACTTCGAACTGAAGAATGGAAAACAGAATATGTTGATGGGAAGGAAAAGAGATGGGCTCAAAGCCAGCCTTAAAAACTCTGGCATAGACCCTGAGAACTGGGAATCCCTGATCTTTGAGTGTTCCAGCTGGAGGTCAGCTGTGACCAGCAGTGCTGTAGAATTTGAAGAGGCACGAATGGAGGGTGAAAGAGAGAAATGTGCCAAGAGGAAGGCGCATCAAGCCAATCCCGACTGGGACCACCTTCCACTTGGAAACCAATGCCCTCACTCCACAGTCACCTACGGACCTACCGCCAGTGCACTGATCCTGGAAGACTATCCTACTCGGACGAGGGATCACCTAAGTAAGTAAGTAAGTAAGTCAAATGATGACACCAAGTGTCCATCTCAGCCTTTTCATTTCTATTGTGTGAAGGCCTTGTTCATGTTTCTTTGTTGCTGGCCAGCACTCGGCCTCGTAGAGAGAGGGTTATGGGCCATACAACTGTGCTGTAGATCTTAACCAAGAGTCACACAGAATACCAGTGGTTTGCCGCCATTTCAACCAGGCGGCATTGATTTGTGTCATTATGTGTCTGGCATTGTGTTGCCATCTATGGAGACCAATGACTCTAGATAATTTAACTTAACACTGACTGCCCTCCAGCAAAAGAACCTAGTGGTCAGAGCCTGGGACTGGGACTGATCCATATTGCCTTGTGTAACCCCACAGGCATTTTATTTTTATTTACCATTAAATTATTTACCATTAAATACAGTTGTAATGTATTTAAAAACACAAAGTTTACAAAACTTGGCATTATACTAAATGTCCTTTAACAAGTAGCTGGCAACTTGGAGTGCCTCTGGTATTGTCCTCCATTGTTCATGTGGCAGGGTTCAGGCTGTATTATGATTTATTATTAATTAGCCGTACCTGCCATGCCAACCTTCCCTCTTTCTCTCCTTCCTTCCTCTCCTTCCTTCCCTTTTTTTTCTTTAATTCTCTCTTTCCTTCCTTCCTTCTCTTCATCTTCACTTCCTTCCTCCCCCTTTCTTTCCCTTCATCTTCTCCCCGTTCTTCCTTCTCTACCTATTCTTGGACTGCAGCTCCCAGCAGTCCTCCTGATCGATCTGTCTACCTACTTGTCTTTATCTAATCTCTCTATCTTATCTGTCTGGAGGATTGGTGGGGGTTGTAGTCCAGGAATAGGAACTTGGAAATATGCAGGGATTGGGATGCTCTCAAAGAAATCCCAGGAGAAGAAAGCTTGCATCTTGGAAGCAGTGTATTTGGATCATCCTCCTTTCCTAAAGTGCCTGGTCTAGGGGATGCTGGGAGTTGTAGTCCAAAAGAGAGTGTGGATACGCTATTGTGTGTTTTGTTTGCCAGGGGAATCGTATTTGTGGATGCGCTGTAGCGTCTTTTTGTGAATGTTTCAATTGGCCACCTTGATTAGCATTTGATGGCCTGGGAGTTTTTAGGAGTGGCTTGTTACTGCCTGGGGGGATCCTTCGTTGAGAGGTGATTAGCTGTCCCTGATTGTTTCTTGCCTGGAGTTCCCCTGTGTCTGGGTGTTTTTATTTAATGTCTTTAATCATTTTCCTTGCATTAGAGAAACTGTACTTCATTTTGTTGTCAAAGGCTTTCATGGCTGGAATCACTGGGTTGCTGTGAGTTTTCTGGGCTGTCTAGCCGTGTTCCAGAAGCATTATCTCCTGATGTTTCATCCACATCTGTGGCAGGCATCCTGAGAGGTTGTGAGGTCTGTTGGAAACCAGGAAAATGGTGTTTATATATTTATGGAATGTCCAGGGTGGGAGAAATCACTCTTGTCTGTTTGAGGCAAGTATGAATGTTGAACTTGGCCACCTTGATTAGCATTTGATGGCTTGACAGTTTTTAGAAGTGCCTTGTTATTACCTGGGAGAATCCTTTGTTGAGAGGTGATTAGGTCTTCCTGATTGTTTCTTGTCCACAGTTCCCGTGTTTGAGTTTTGTTCTTTATTTACTGTTATAATTTCAGAGTTTTTAAAAGAACTCTTGTCTGTTTGAGGCAAGTATGAATGTTGTATTTGGCCAGCTTCATTAGCATTTGATGGCCTGACAGTTTTTAGGAGTGGCTTGATCCTGCCTGGGAGTATCCTTTGAGAGGTGATTAGCTGTCCCTGATTGTTTCTTGTCTGGAGTTCCCCTGTGTTTGAGTGTTTTTATTTAACGGTCGTTAATCATTTTTCATTGTATTAGAGATGCAGTAGTTCATTTTGTTGTCAAAGGCTTTCATGGCTGGAATCACTGAGTTGCTGTGAGTTTTTCGGGCTGTACGGCCATGTTCCAGAAGCATTCTCTCCTGATGTTTCACCCACATCTATGGCAGGCATCCTCAGAGGTTGTGAGGTCTGTTGGAAACCAGGAAAAGGGGGTTTATATATTTGTGGCATGTCCAGGGTGGGAGAAAGCGGTCAGTTTGAGGCAAGTATGAATGTTGCAATTGGCCACCTCGATTAGCATTTGATGGCCTGACAGTTTTTGGAAGTGCCTTGTTACTACCTGGGAGAACTCTTTGTTGAGAGGTGATTAGCTGTTCCTGATTTTTTCTTGTCTGGAGTTCCCTTGTGTTTGAGTTCTGTTCTTTATTTACTGTTATAATTTTAGAGTTTTTTTTAAAGAAATCTTGTCTGTTTGAGGCAAGTGTGAATGTTTCAATTGGCCACCTTGATTAGCATTTAATGGCCTGACAGTTTTTAGGAGTGGCTTGATACTGCCTGGGAGAATATTTTGCTGAGACGTGATTAGCTGTCCCTGATTGTTTCTTGTCTGGAGTTCCCCTGTGTCTGAGTGTTTTTATTTAATGGCCTTTAATCATTTTTCATTGTATTAGAAATACAATAGTTCATTTTGTTGTCAAAGGCTTTCATGGTTGGAATCACTGGGTTAATGTGAGTTTTCCAGGCTGTCTCGCCATGTTCCAGAAGCATTCTGTCCTGACGTTTCACCCACATCTATGGCCAGGGGCGGCTCAACCCATTACGCAAAGTAAGAATTTGCAGTATAGTAAAAAAAAAAAAAGTATAGTTGATTTTGCCCAGGTGCACTCTTGAGGCGCTCTTGGGGGAAAATAGACCTTGACATATGCAAGTTAGAGTTACTGAGATGTATAGTTCACCTACAATCAAAGAGCATTCTGAACTCCACCAATGATGGAATTGAACCAAATATGGCACACAGAACTCCCACAACGAACAGAAAATATATATCAATGATTGGTTGTGGGGAGGGGGGTGCAAAATACTGTTTGCTTACCATTGAAAATTACCTAGGGCCGCCTCTGCCTGCAGGCATCCTGAGAGGTTGTGAGGTCTGTTGGAAAGAAGAAAAATTGGGTTTATATATTTGTGGTATGTCCAGGGTGGGAGAAAGAACTCTTGTCTGCTTGAGGCAAGTATGAATGTTGCAGTTGGCCACCTTGATTATAGAATCATAGAATCAAAGAGTTGGAAGAGACCTCATGGGCCATCCAGTCCAACCCCCTGCCAAGAAGCAGGAATATTGCATTCAAATCACCCCTGACAGATGGCCATCCAGCCTCTGTTTAAAAGCTTCCAAAGAAGGAGCCTCCACCACACTCCGGGGCAGAGAGTTCCACTGCTGAACGCTCTCACAGTCAGGAAGTTCTTCCTCATGTTCAGATGGAATCTCCTTTCTTGTAGTTTGAAGCCATTGTTCCGCATCCTAGTCTCCAGGGAAGCAGAAAACAAGCTTGCTCCCTCCTCCCTGTGGCTTCCTCTCACATATTTATACATGGCTATCATGTCTCCTCTCAGCCTTCTCTTCTTCAGGCTAAACATGCCCAGCTCCTTAAGCCGCTCCTCATAGGGCTTGTTCTCCAGACCCTTGATCATTTTAGTCGCCCTCCTCTGGATACATTCCAGCTATTATTCTGTTTATTGGGGGTTGCTAAACTTCTGTTCCTGAAGAAATTATTTCAGCAGCGACCAATCTTTCTTGTGTCCCTCTGTCTGGTCCTGGAGCAAAAATGTTAGGGAGTCCATGTCCTGAATGGCCTTGCAGCTTCAAAACTTGGCTGCTTCCTGTCTGGGGGAATCCTTTGTTGGGAGGTGTTAGCTGGCCTTGATTATTTCCTGTCTGGAATTCCCTTGTTTTCTGAGTTTCCATCTATATTTAGTGCCTTGATTTTTGTTTAATACTGGTAGCCAGATTTTGTTCAGTTTCATGGTGTTTTCCTTTCTGTTGCTTGTGGGCTTGTGTTGGTGTGCCCTGGTAGTCACCCGCTTTCTCTTTGGCGGCCAGTGGGCGGCCAAGCCCTCCAGGGAAGGCCCCTCTCGCGAAGGCCCCCCCCGGCGCGTGTTTCTGCGTGGGCGCCCGCTGCATGCTGCATTGCAGTCCCCTCCGCCCTCCCTCCCTCCCTCCCTCCTTCCCTCCTTCCCTCCCTGGATGGCCATCAGCCAAAAGAGCTGTCCCGCCATCCCTCTTGCCTTCCTTGGGCTGCTGCGGGGAGGCTTCCTTTCCACGAGTGACGTTGTGGAGAAGGCGGCGGCTTGCTTGCTTGCTTGATCTCCTCCTCCTCCTCCTCCTCCCTTTCCTCTCTCTCTCTGTCTCCTCCGCCTTGAGGTTTCTCCTCCCCTGCGTGACTCTGAGCGCGTGCAGAGCGCGTCCCCCTGACTTTGCGCGCTTGCGGCGTGTGTCACCGCGCGTGGGGCCGGCTTTTAAACTCTCCCAGGGCCGCATCGGAGAGGCATCCTCTCGCAGTCCTTTTCCTAAGCCGGAGTCGAGGACACCTGCTGCCTGGGCACCTGCTCTTTGGGATCCACCTCGCTCGCTCTCCCCGTGGCCTCCAAAATGGGGCTCTCCAACCTCCTCCCTTGCCTCTCCTTGGCCGCCCTTTTGGTCGCCTTACCCGATGCAGCCCGATCCGAAGTGATAGCCCAAGGCGAGCCGGGCTTCGGCGACTGCGACGCCTTCTTCTACCAGCAGACCCCTCCTGAAGGCTTGGGGAGCCTCCCGAAGGTGGCCAAGATCTGCCAGAAGTACCGCCACCAGCCCCACTTCGCCACTCTCTACAGCACCCAGGACCGCACCCCCATCTACTCGGCTTTCAAGTACCAAGAAGGGACCCAGTGCTGCCCAGAAGAGGCCTCTTGGATGGTGGAGCCCCAGGTGAGGAGAGGAGGAGGAGCAGACCAGGGTTGGACTTGGGGTGGTGGGCCTCTTTCCCCAGTCAGGGCGAGCTGGAAAAGCCAAGGCCTCAAGAGGAGCAGAGTAGTGGGAGGAGGTCATATCGAACAGGGTCTAGGGTTTACATCCTGTGCTGGATGGGGTCACACTCCCCTTGAAGGCACAGGTTCACACCTTGGGGTCCTCACTGAGCCTGGAATCCCAGGTTGCAGCGGTGGCCAAACTTGCACCCGTTTCTTTGGAAATCAGACCCGGCCATGGTGGGCCACGCTCTCATTACATCCAGGATAAACTACTGCAACACACTCTACATGGGGTTGCCTTTGAAGACTGCTCAGAAGCTTCAAATAGTCCAAGGAGAGGCAGCCAGGTTAATAACTAGGGTGGCATACAGGGAGCACATAACTCCCCTGTTACGCCAGCTCTACTGGCTGCCTCTTTGCTACTGGGCACAATTCAAAGTGCTGGCTTTGGCCCATGAAGCCCTAAATGGCCCAATTTACCTGCCCTAATGCATCGCCCCTTATAAACCATCATGGAGATTAAGATCTCCGGGGAGGCGCTGCTCTCCATCCCGCCATTGTCACAGGCACAATTGTTTGGGGCGAGAGACAGGGCCTTCTCGGTGATTGCTCCCCAGCTATGGAACTCCCTTCCTGGTGAGATCAGATCAGCCCCCTCCCTCCTGTCCTTCAGAAGAATGGTAAAAACTTGGCTGTGGCACCAAGCTTTCGGGACAGGGCAATAAAGCAGCAATAGGAACGTTTACCAGGCCAATTAGATTTGACGCATACGACCAAGATGGTTTTAAATGGTGTATTTTAATATTGAGATAAGTGTTTTTAATGTTTATGTATGCGTATATGAATTCTTGTCCCGGCATTGAATGTTTGCTGCGCCCTGAGTCCCCTTCGAGGTGAGAAGGGAGAAATACAATTGTTTTAAATAAATAAAATAACTAAATATTCCACTCTAGTTTTCCTTCAAATATTGTGCCCAGAAGTCAAGAAGGATGTTGACAAGGTAGAACAGGCCTGGGCAAACTTGGGCCCTCCCTCCAAGGGTTTTGGACTCCAACTCCCACCATTCCTAACAGCCCCAGGCCCTTTCTTTCCCCCCCTCAGCCACTACTTTCCAAGACCCCTCAACCTCTGAGGATGCCCACATCTATGGCAGGTATCCTCAGAGGTTGTGAGGTCTTTTGGAAACTAGGCAAGTGAGGTTTACATATCAGTGGAAGGTCCAGGGAGGGAGAAGGAACTCTTGTCTGTTGGAGGGAAGTGTGAATGTTGCTGAAGTGGCTGAGGGGGGAAAAAAGGAAAGGGCCTGAGGCTGTTAGGAATAGTGGGAGTTGAAGTCCAACACACATGGAAGGCCCAAGTTTGCCTACACTAGAACCTCTCCAGAGAAGGTGACCAAACATGGTCCACAATCTGGAAGTCAGGCTCTCCTCAAAGAACCCAGATATGTTTAATGTGTTGTCAAAGGCTTTCTTGGCTGGAATCACTGGGTTGCTGTGAGTTTTCCGGGCTGTATGGCCATGTTCCAGAAGCATTCGCTCCTGACGTTTCACCCCCATCTATGGCAGGCATCCTCAGAGGTTGAGAGGCCAGTTGGAAACTAGGCAAGTGAGGTTGATATAAAAATAAATGAATAAATAAATACATGGGTTGCTATGAGTTTTCTGGGCTGTATGGCAATGTTCCAGAAGCATTTTCTCCTGACATTTTGCCCCCATCTATGGCAGGTGTCCTCAGAGATTGTGAGGCCAGTTGGAAACTAGGCAAGTGAGGTTGACATAAAAACAGACAAATAAATAAATTGGTTGCTGTGAGTTTTCTGGACTGTATGACCATGCTCCAGAAGCATTCTCTCCTGATGCTTCATCCCCATCTATGGTAGGCATTCTCAGAGGTTGAGAGGTCAGTTGGAAACTAGACAAGTGAGGTTGACATATCTGTGGAATAATGTCCAGGGAGGGAGAAAGAACTCTTGTTTGCTCAAGGCAAGTGTGAATGTTGCAAATGGCTGGCTTAATTCACATTTAATGGCCAACCTCACTTGCCTGGTTTCCAAGACCCCTCAACCTCTGAAGGATACCCACTTCCATGGCAGGCATCCTAGGAGGTTGTGAGGTCTGTTGGAAACTAGGCAAGTGGGGTTTATATATCTGTGGAATAATGTGCAGGGTGGGAGAAAGAACTCCTGTCTGTTGGAGGCGAGTTGCAATTCCTCACCTTGATTAACATTGAAAAGCCTTGCAGCTTCAAAGCCTGGCTGATGAACCATCCTGGACACAGCATATTATTTGAGAACACAGAAATGCTGGACCACTCTAACAACCACCATGTCAGTCAGATTACATAGAGAAGCCATTGAAATCCACAAGCATGTGGACAATTTCAACAGAAAGGAGGAAACTGTGAAAATGAACAAAATCTGGCTACCAGTATTTTTAAAAATGCTAAAATCAGGATAGTAAATAAAGAACAACAGGCAGAAAACAGTGGAATTCCAATCAGGAAACAACAGGGCCAGCTAACACCTCCCAACAAAGGACCCCCCAAAACAGGAAGCAGCTAGCCTTTGAATCTGCAAGGCCATTGAGTGGTAATCAAACTGGCCAATTGCAACATCCACACTTGCCTCAAACAGACAAGAGTTCTTTCTCCCACCTTGGACATCATTCCACAGAAATATAAACCTCACTTGCCTAGTTTCTAATAGACCTCAACACCTGCCATAGATGTGGGCGAAACGTCAGGAGATAATGCTTCTGAAATATGGCCATACAGCCTGGAAAACTCACAGCAAACCAGTGATTCTGGCCATGAAAGCCTTCAAAAACACATTGAAGCTAGGTATATTTAGTTTGGAGAAAAGAAGGCTCAGAGTCAACATGATAGCAATGTTTAATTACTTGAAAGGATTCATATTGAGGAAGGGGCAGGTTAGAGATCTCACGGAGCAATGGATTCAAACTGCAGGAAAAGGGGTTCCACCTAAACATTAGGAAGAAATTCCTGATGGAAAGAACTGTTCTGCAGTGGAATATGCTGCCTTGGAGTAGAGTCTGGAGTGTTGTGTGGCCATGTTCTGGCAACATTTTCTCCTGACCTTTCGTCTGCATCTGGGACTGGCATCTTCATAGTAGAGTCTTCTTCCCTGGAGGTTTTTAAGCAAAGCCTGGATGGCCATCTGTCAGGAGTGCTTTGATTGTGTGTTCCTGTATGGCAGAATTGGGTTGAATTGGGTTGTCCTTGTGGTCTCTTCCAACTTTATGATTCTATTATTCCAGTGCAATTTTCTTGCCTATTGGCTGGGGGTTGAACTGGATGGCCCACAAGGTGTCTTCCAGCTCTAGGATCTTATGAATATATGAGGGGACAAAGCCATCAAAGGGTTTTATTGACATAATTTAGGTTTGGGGGTTTGCTTTTGCCTGGCTGAGAGGGTGTGACTTGCCCAAGGTCCTTAGAATGGTAGATCTGGGAAGGATCCCAGATATTATTCAGACCAAGCCCCATGCTATTGTGACAGAAGAATATTATTTGCAAATGCAGTATGGTTAGCTAGCTTCTCCTTGGATATATATCCAGTGAAGGATTGTCTACCACCATCTCCAGAGGCTGTTTCTTTGGGTGCATCTACACCAGCCATGGGTAAACTTTGGCCCTCCAGGTGTTTTGGATTTCAGGGTTGCTGTAAGTTTTTTTCGGGCTATGTGGTCATGTTCCTGACGTTTCGCCTGCATCTATGTCAAGCATCCTCAGAGGTAGTGACAATACATGTTTTGGATTTCAGTTCTCACCATTCCAGGAATCCAAAGGCATTATACAATCTGTAGTGAATATTCTCTCATCATTGCGTGACTCTTATCAGTCATGAATAAAATTATCCTTTAATCTTGCTTCATCATTGCTATCTGTTTGATCACGGATGATTGCAAACCCTTGTCTACTTAGTTCACATGGTACTTTCTTATCTCAGGGATGGGCAAACTTCTGCCCTCCAGGTGTTTGGACTTCTCCTTCTCCTTCTCCTTTACCTTCTTCTCCTTCTTCTTATGGACTTCAACTCCCACCATTCCTGAGAGAGTGCGGTATACAAATAAAGTAAATAAATAATAATACTACTACTACTAATAATAAGTCCTAGACATTTGGGAAGTGTCCAACATTTGATCCAATACAAGAGCCAGCAGAGTGATCTTGACTGCTGTGGACTCATCTTGTTGTGTTTCAAATAATAATAATAATAATAATAATAATAATAATAATAATAATAATACGAAGCCCAGCATATAGATCTCATTTGCTGTGTTTTTGTGTCAGTAAAATAATAATAATAATAATAATAATAATAATAATAATAATAATAATAATAATGTTAAAAAACCAAGTATGGATTGTCGATGTTGCAATCCCCAGCGACAGCAGAATTGAAGAGAAACAACTGGAAAAGCTGCCATGATACGAGGATTTAAAAATTGAACTGCAAAGACTCTGGCACAAGTCAGTCAAGGTGATCCCAGTGGGAATCGGCACACTGGGTGCAGTGCCTAAAGACTTGCACTTAAACACAATCCACACTGACAAAATTACCATCTGTCAGATGCAAAAGGCCATCCTATTGGGATCTACACGCATTATTTGCTGATACATCACATAGTCTTAGACACTTGGGAAATGTCCGAGGTGTGATCCAATACAACAACCAGCATAGTGATCTTGTTGGCTGTCTACTAATCTTGTTGTGTTTCTAATAATAATAATAATAATAATAATAATCATCATCATCATCATCATCACCATCACACAGTCCTAGACGCTTGGGAAGTGTTCGATTTGTGATTTTGTGATACAAAATCCAGCATATAGATCTCATTTGTTGTGACATACTGTGTTTTTGTGTCAGTAAATAATAAGAATAAGAATAAGAATGCATTTTATTTGTTACCCATGTTTCCCTAGAGTTTGGGC